GCACACCTGCGTAATCCCACCCTTTGGAGCCGAGGGTGGATCATTTGAGGTCAGACGATTGGAGGCCAGCATGGCCAACGTGGTGAAACCCGTCTGCTTACTGAAAATAACAAAAATTAGCCGGTATGGTGGCGCGATGCCTGTAATCCCAGACTACTTGGGAAGCCTTGAGTGAGAGAATGGCTTGAACGCCGGACAAGGTGGAGGTTGCAGTGATCGCTGAGAGCCACGCCACTGTACTCCAGCTGGTGCGACACTGCGAGGACTTATCTCAAAAAACAGAAAAACCGCTATAACAGCTGGTGTGCTCACATCCGAATTCCACACGGGGTGGACTGAGGGCAGGTGGAATCACTTGAGCCAGATAGACGCAGCAACAATAGGGCAAAACCGCGTGTCTCACTGAAACATACAAAAATTAGCCCGGCAGGTGCAATAGCTGTATCCGCACTACTCGGAGTCACACGAGAATCAGCTGAATCTGGGAAACAGAGGTTGCAGTAGCTGAACCGTGCACTACACTCCAGCACATGGTCCGGCCCTGGCCATGTTTTTAACTGCCTTTCTCTAATAGCTAATAATGCTGAGCATCTTTTTATCCTCATCTCAGCCTTTAGTGTTTTTTTTTTGGTAAAAGTCTGGTTTTTTTTTTTTTTTTTTGGTCCATCTTAAAATTGTTTTTAGTTTTGTTTTGAGAGAGGTTCTCACTTTGTTGCCCAGGCTAGAGTGCAGTGGCACAATCATGGCTCACTGCAGCTTCGACCTCCCTGGGCTCAGGTGATCCTCCCACCTCAGTCTCCTGAGTAGATGGGACTATAGGCGTGTGTCACCATGCCCAGCTAATTTTTGTATTTTTTTGTAGAGATGGGGTTTTGCTATGTTGCCCAGGCTGGTCTTGAACTTCTGAGGCTCAAATGATCCACCTCAGCCTCCCAAAGTGCTGGGATAACAGGCGTGAACCACCACACCCAGCTAAAATTGTTTTAAAAATCTTTTTCTTGAGTTTTGAGAGTTTTTATGTGTTAGGGATACCAGTCCCTTATGAGGTATATAATTAGCAAGTAGTTTCTCCCACTCTGTGACTGTGACCTTTCTTTTTTTGAGGCAGGGTCTCACTCTGTTACTTAGGCTGGAGTGCAGTGGTGTGATCATGGTTCACTGCAACCTGGAACTCCTAGGCTCAAGGGCTTCTCCCACCTCAGCCTCCCAAGTAGCTGGGTCTACAGGTGTGTTATTGTGCAGGGTTAATGTTTTGCATTTTTTGTAGAGATAATGTCTCTACAAAAGACACCATCTTTGTTGCTGAACTCCTGGCTTCAAGGAATCCTCCAGCCTCAGCCTCCCAAAGTGCTGAGATTACAGCATGAGCCACATCCAGCCTATGACTTTTCTTTTCTTTTCCTTTTTTTTTTTTGAGACAGAGTCTCACTCTGTCGCCCAGGCTGGAGTGCAGTGGCGCGATCTCCACTCACTACAAGCTATGCTTCCCAGGTTCACGCCATTCTCCTGCCTCAGCCTCCCAAGTAGCCAGGACTACAGGCGCTCGCCACTGCATCTGGCTAATTTTTGTATTTTTAGTAGAGACGGGATTTCACCATGTTGGCCAGGATGGTCTCAATCTCTTGACTTTATGATCCACCCACCTTGGCCTCCCAAAGTGCTGGGATTACAGGCGTGAGCCACCGCGCCCGGCCTACACAAAAATTCTTAATTTTGAGAAAGTCCAATTTATCCTGTTTTTTTCTTTCATTGCTTATGTTTTTGGTGTCATATGAAATAAGTTATTGCAAAATGCCACAACTTAATTTTAGAACATTTCTATCACCCCCCCAAAATTCCCTACATTGATTCCCTAATCCCACCCCAGACCAATGATCTGTTTTCAGTCTTTTATTTATTTATTTATTTATTTATTTATTTATTTAGAGATGGAGTTTCACTCTTCTGTTTGCCCAGGCTGGAGTGGCGCCGATGGCATGATTTCTGGCTCACTGCTAAGCTCTCTGCCTCTGGGTTTCAAGTGGTTCTCCTGCTCAGCCCTTCCCAAGTAGCTGGGACTATAGGGCCATGCCACCACGTCTGGCTATTTTTTGTTATTTAGTGGGAGAGGGTTTCACACATGTAGCCAGGGCTGGTTCCTGCCCTCAAAGGTGGATCTGCCGCCTCAGTCTCCCAAAAGTTGCTTTGGATTACAGGCATGAGCCACATAACGCCTAGGCCTGATTCTATGTTCTTTTCTTTTTTTTTCCTTTGTTTTTTTTTGAGGACAGAGTCTCTGGTTGGCCTAGGCTGGGAGGCAGTGCGCGCGGATCTCGGCTCAACTGCAACCTCTGGCCTTCCCAGGTTCAAAGGGATTCTCCTGCCATTGGTCCAGGTCTCCCGTTACAAGAGGAAGCGTGGATTACAGATTGCACCCGGAATAGTCCAAGTATAATTGTTGTATTTAGTATTCCAGCAGACAGAATGGTTATCCAGCCTTCAATGCTTAGGATCAGAGATGGTCGCAAGTCTTGAAAACATCGGTGATCCGCAGCCACTGCCTCCCAAAAAAGGCTAGGATGACAAGGCATGCAAGGACGCACAGGCAACCTGGCCTGTTCAGTCTTATAGGTTTGTAATCCCAGGCATTTTTGGAAAGCTGAGGCAGTGGGATTGCCCTGAGCTCAGGAGTTCGAGGACAGCCTGGGCAACTTGGTGAAAACCCCGTCTCTACTAAAAACACAAAAAAGATTAGCACTGGGCGTGGTGGTTGTGCGCCTGTGGATCCCAGTTACTTGGGAGGCTGAGGGCAGGAGGAATTGGCTTGAACCAGGAGGGCGGAGGTTCCCAGTGAGCTGAGATCATTGCACTGCCACTCCAGGTCACTGATGCAACCACGGGCGAGACTCCGTCATCAAAAAATAA